GGAGGGAGGGGAGGGTGGGTGATGGGTATTGAGGAGGGCACCTTTTGGGATGAGCACTGGGTGTTGTATGGAAACCAATTTGACAATAAATTTCATATATTAAAAAAAAGATATTTTAAGTTCAGAGATTATGAAACCTTCAGGTGGCAATGATAATTTGTCCATAAGCAAAGTGTTTTATCAATACAGAGCTGCCTCTCAATAAAGGACTTGATTCCCACTCATGCTTTTAGTCACAGGGCTTACTGGTAGTAGAAGAGGCGTGAAGGCAATAGTAGAATTTCCACCTGTAAGGCCATTTCTTACCATTCTGGTAACACCTCCGCTAAAAAACTAAAAATCACTCACCACTTCATAAAGTCCTTTTTAACCAAAGAAACACCTTGTCTCTGGGGTACCAGGCTGAGGCTGTTTTCTTCTCTCTGGAAGGCAAAATTCACATCAGTATCATAAATACCATTTTTTTCCGGGGCGCCTGGGTGGCTCAGTTGGTTGGGCGTCCGACTTCGGCTCAGGTCACGATCTCACGGTCCGTGAGTTCGAGCCCCGCGTCAGGCTCTGGGCTGATGGCTCAGAGCCTGGAGCCTGCTTCCGGTTCTGTGTCTCCCTCTCTCTCTGCCCCTCCCCTGTTCTTGCTCTGTCTCTCTCTGTCTCAAAAATAAATAAACATTAAAGACCATTTTTTTCCTTAATAGTCCCATAGACTTATGTCCAAGAACACATTATCAGACTCTCAGAGAGGAAATCTGTCTGTACATTTAGCAGCTTTCCTTGCCAAAGTCAAAACTTCTTTTCAATGCCTGATGCAAACAACTGGCTTATGTAACATAACATCCTAAGTCAAAATACTCAGATAAGTCAGTTTTTGAATACTCTGTTACGCACATATATTTTAATTTGTTCTTTAGAAAACTTCAACAGCACTTTCCTTTAAGACAAATACTTCTAAACTTCATAAGTCAAAACAATAGAATCTGATGTCTCATATATTTTCAGGCATTAAATGTATGGCAGTGGTTTCTGTAGATATGCCCTACATTTAAATATAAGGTGTTCCCCGTGGGTGTGGCAGGGGGAAGGTGCGGTCCTGCTCCTTTTTTCCTTTTCAGAAAAATTAAGCTAGTTGAAAAAACTTAGGCTGGTTTAGGATTCAACAGACCCTTAAGATTATGATTTAATTTGGTACACAGAATTTGGTGCATGAAAACCCAGCCTGTGGGTTGAGCTCTTCATTGTAGCCCATGGTGGATGCCTGCAGGCCATGCAGCTGCCCCCCACCAGCTTCCAGAAAAGAAACCAGTAGCCCAGTAATTGTAACTTCCCAGATCCAATTTCTGCGAATCTTTATTTTATCTGCAGCCTCTGCCATTACGTCTCTCAAAGGTCACCTGAGAACACGTTACCGTCAGCTGTTTAAACTTAAACAGATGGTACTCACTGTCAACGTTTTTCTTTTCCTGCAGAATTCATCTAAAGCTGCCCAAGCCCCATCTCCATGGGGAGCCAGTGGAAAGTAAGTTCATTTCTCCAAAGTAAAGGTGATAAATGAGGCACTGCATGATGCTGGGCCATGTGCTACTTTGCTTACAGCACCCTGGGGAGCTGTTCTACCCCACCTGGTACCAGCCCCCCTACTCTTGTTTTTTTCTACGCTCTCCCCTTCCAGGAGCACTGGAACCCCATCCCCCATGTCTCCCAACCCCTCTCCGACCAGCTCCGTGGGATCTCAGGGGAGCCTCTCCAATGCCAACACCCTGTCCCCTTCCACCATCGTCAGCATCCCACAGCGCATCCACCAGATGGCAGCCAACCACGTCAGCATCACCAACAGCATTCTCCACAGCTATGACTACTGGGAGATGGCGGACAACCTAGCCAAGGAAAACAGAGGTGTGTGAGCCTCTAGGAAGTGTGTGTGTGTGTGTGGTTCCAACCACAACCCAGGGAGCCAGCCTGACGCGGGACATCATTGAGCAAGTTTTCGTCATTTACCAGAGGAGACGGTAGAAGCTGTGCACAACTTTTCCTGACCTCCCACCCTCACTCAGGGTCTCTCGTGCCTTAACCTACCTTAATCTTGACTATAGGAGATTAGAGATGGAGGTGGACATAGATATGATACAGATACATAGAAATGGTGTAAATACAGATAGAGATATATACACATATGCTCTTCTTTGAGACTGTGAGCTCCATGAAGGTAGGGGTAACGTTCTATTCAGCTTAGTGTTCCCAAGACCTGCACGGTGCCTAGAATACAACTAGGGACCTGAAACATTTAACTATTAATTAATGAGGATGAATGTTTCTGGCTGCATAAGTGATAGCTGCTTGCCACTGAAAAGAAAGTGTTTTATAGGCAGCAGTAAGTTCTATTTCTCTTTAAGTAAGGTTTGTTTTCACAGATTATAAAACAAATGCATGTCTACTGTGGCTAAATTTGTAAAGTGTGGAAAACTACAGGGAAAAACATTTTTTAATTATCAGTAATCTTATCACCAAGAGATAATTACTGTTAACATTCTACCGAAGTTTCCTCTAGGCTTCTCCAAACATGCACAATTCTTGCCAAAATAAGATTATAGTTCATATACAGTTTTATATCCTGTTTCCATTTAACAATATCAGGCATTTTCCCATGCCACTAACTAGTTCAAAAACATCTTTTATGATGTTCTAGAAGACTGTCATAATAGTGGTTTTACAGTCATAAAGTATCATGATTTCTCAAAACCATTCCCTTCTTGTTGGACATTTATATCACTTCCAACTTTTGTTCTACTACGAATAATGTTATGACAAATCTCCTTATATAAATCATTGTCTATATTCTGATTATTTTCATACAAGGGAGAATTTGAAGGTCAACAGCTATAGATTCTTTTAAGATATATATTGTTATATATCTTAATATATATTAACTTTTCTCCCAAATGATTATACCGATTTACTACTCTCCCTCCCACAGCAGGAGAGCACAAATCTGAGTTCACTTTCAAGCCATTAAGTGCGAATTCTGTTCCCACAAAAGCATAAGCTTCTGAGGACAAGACCAGAATGTTCACAATGAGATGAGGAATTAATGGCATAGATAAGCACGTGGGTCCTGAGTACATGAAATTGGTAATAAAACCGGATAGTACATAACATGCATCCCAGAGGTGACACACCCTGAAAATCTAATGGGAATGCCAGGGAGGTCAATGCCAGGGGACTGAGGCCACCAGGAGAGGCCTTCTGGAGGAATTGACAGGGAACAGGGTTTGGAAAGGCAAATAGTCGTTGTGTAGCTGAGATGGAGTGGGGTGGGCATCCCCAGTGGACACAACAGAAGGGACAGGACATATAAAAATTGACATGGCCAGTTTGGGAGACCCTGAGCAGGCCACACTCCAGATGGCACTGCCAGCTGCCTACTGGATGTCTCCTACCAGAGGGCTCAATGCTACATGTCCAGTGTAAAGTCGGCATTTTTCCTGGACCTGCCCCCTCCTCCCCAGTTCTGCTCCTGGATTCCTGCCTTGGCTTCCCTCCCCACCACCTCAGAGTCTTCTCTAATCTCTCCCTCGCCTTCTCCGGCAGGACATCATTCAGCATGTATATGAGGAACTTTGAAAAACTCCCAGATTCTCACTTTCAAAGACTGTTGTTCAGTGATCCAGTTATGACAGTATAACAGCCATATGAGCCATTGTTTCTCTGAGCCACTATCCCGTGATCTCTGAGAGAGCAGAGCCTGCACCTTATTCGTCTTCTGTACCCCCTACCCCTACCCCCTGCACCCAGCACCGTGCCTCAGCACATAATAAATGTTAACGAAGGCACAGACCTAGAGAATGTCCCAGGACTAGAAGGTGACCTCAGTAGGGGTTTTTCAGAACCCATCTCTGACTTGCCCCCAAGGTCCTGGACCCTTCTGCCTTGGACTCACTGCAGGGGTTCAGCACATGCTACAGTTGAGTACAGTATTAAGGGGTGACAGAGCCATAAGCCACATCTAGGGCAGGATGCATTCGTGCACAAGGACAATGCAGTCTAAGGAAGTAAATTTTCTTTGCTATTTGGCTGAGTAAATGTTATTCATTTGAATGAGAAATAAGATAAAAAGAGAGAGGGAGGCGAACCATAAGAAACTCTTAAATACAGAGAACAAATTGAGGGTTGCCGGAGTGGAGGTGGGGGTGGGGTGGGCATTAAGGAGGACACTTGTTGGGATGAGTACTGGGTGTTATATGTAAGTGAGGAATCCCAAAATTCTACTCCTGAAGTCATTATTACGCTGTATGTTAACTAACTTGGATTTAAATAAAATTTTAAAATAAATAAATAAATGAGAAATGGCCAATAGAATTAATTGGATATAGGATGAGTTCTCTACCTTTGGGTTTTATTTTGTCCAGTGGAATGCTAAAGTTGCCTGATGGAATAGAGAGTGCATGATTTATATAGAGACTGTGGATGGAATTTCTTCTTAAGTCACTCAGGTCTCTCAGGGTAGCACGCTCAGCACGTGTGTCACTCAAACGACTCTCTCTGTCCTCTAGAATTCTTCAACGACCTGGATTTGCTCATGGGGCCTGTCACCCTGCACAGCAGCATGGAGCACCTGGTCCAATACTCACAGCAGGGCCTGCACTGGCTGCGGAACAGCACCCACCTGTCATAGGGAACTTGCCCCTGAGCTGGATTGTGCTCTCATCTCCATGGACGGCTCAATGTTTCTAGACACTGTGCTACTGAAATTCCCAGCCACAGCATTTATCGAACTGCGGTGAATATTTTCTCAGCATCGAACAATGGTCTTTTCCCAGGGCATGTGTGTTTGTATGTGTGGGCGTAAAAGAAGTTGCCTGTGTATGTGTGTAAGATATACAGCTCTTTAAAATACATTTTTGTCTAGTTTTCATAATCCCAAGCTAGACAAAGTGATCAGAGGTTTCTGATTAGAGAATATACACTTACACACATGCACGCACGCACAAAATCACACACACACACACACTTTCTATTTCAAAGCTAAACCATGACTTCTTAGAACATTCAACCAAAATCTCATGGGTTAGTTAACCAGGTGCAATACAGCACACCAAAAGCTTGACTGCCAGTTAAGATGAACCTAGTTCTTATACTGTTGATTACTTTCAGTATTAATATACTATTCCCCAATTAATTTTTGATTGTGTGTATTATGGATAATTGAATAACGAAAAAAGTCAGTTATTTTTGTGCTGGACGTTTACTAGATTGCATGTTACCAAATACCTTGCCTTTTGTCTAACACGCACCCTTCCATCCAACTTTATTATCAACTAAATGCGTTATAAGCAAATGGATCAAATCCCACAGGCCTTCCCTGCCCTGCCCCCAAAATCATATGAAAATGGCACTGGGATTTGGTAACAACAGTGTCATTGAAAGCTGACCAACAAGAACAGACAACTGAGCTTGGAGCTCAGTTGGGAATTGAAACCTTCTGCACGTGGAACAGTAAGCCTGCCCAGCCCACGTGTGTTTTCTTCCTGCCACTGTGACACAGCAGCCATAGAGCCACATGGCATTTGTCAGCCAATATGTTTCAAGTCTTTTCTTCCCACGATAGCTTTCTTGCAAATTTTCTTGGCCAAATGGGACATTACCTAGAACGTCTCTTCACTAGGAGTCTGTATCTGCTGCTTATCAGGCTGAGAAATATTTGCTATCGTGAGACTGTCTCACCCTCTCACTCTTTGTGCAGAATGCAGGCCTCTAATAGCATTTTGATCTGGGGGGATATGTTTCAGGCTTTGATTTGCAAGCTGCTTATTGTGCGGGGTGAGTTATTTTTGCAATGATCACAACCCTGTTTGGGGTAGCAACGACTAGAACATCATGTTTGCATCCTGTACGTCTGGTATGTTTACGTCTTGCCCTTGATTCTTTTCTTTTCAATTAAGTTTACATTTTAGTTTTTTGACATCTTGTTTACAGTCTTTGTATGAAACTTACTTCTTTTATAGTCTCTTGTCATGCCCTAGATTTAGTCTTCTTGTTAAATATATTTGAATATAAAAAATACTGGTAAGAAGAAAAACTTCTGCAAAAGAGGATATACCTTGCCATGTCCTTAAAAGCAAAAATAATGTGCTTGAAGCCTCTCACTTGACAGAATTGCACCAGGATGGTCTGAGAAAGAGTCAGGTGATGCAGTATGTGGAACGCTCCATTTTCCAAGGTGATGCTGGCACAAAACAGTTATAGTAGATTGTGATATATGCTTTCCCTGATGCTCTTACTGCTTTGGTTGTAATGTTAACATTTTTGTCACCTGATCTGTAGATGGGAAATAAGACTGCTGTCATTCTAAGCACTGATTCAAAACTGTACAAATGATTGAACAACTTAGGTGATTTGAAATGAATTTAAAGTGAAGGGTCTGAAGTGAAATGAAGCCAGTGAAGGGTTTGTGAAATTTGCATTTGGCTTTGGCCCTGAAATGTTACCAGTATTTCTATTTTACATTTGTCCAACTGTGGGGCGCCTCACATCCCTTTCACTAGCTATTGGCAGAGTTTGCGATCCCATCCTATGTTGGAAATTTGAGTCTAACTTGGGAAATTTTGGATTTTTTTTTTTTGGAGGACTAAAGCTTAGTTCTAGTCACCCTTGATGAATCCTGATGAAATGTTGAAACTCTCAAAGGGATGAACCTCAGGGTCCATCGTGCATCCCCTGGGTGCTTTCTGGCCCTGCCCATCCTCAAAGCCACGGGTCTTGTAGCGGCCCATAACGTGCTTACCCACAAAACCCCATGTAGACCCACAGGAGGCCCCTGGCTGATTGTGCCCACAGCATTTTATCAGCACTTACGTGGCCCGTGTTCTGCAAAAAAAAAACACTTGGAAGTCGTCATCTTGGAGATGGTCAGAGCATGCAGTTCCTCTCCCTGTCTTTGATCTCATCAACTGACCACGTGAGGGCAGCAGTTTTTGTTGGCTTTGGCATAGATGATTTTGGTAAGGAACCATCTTCTGACTGTTACTTGTGAAACAGTAACATTCATGACTTATTCCTTTTATTTAGCTTTGTTCAAAGTAGAAATACCTTTCTTGTGTTTTTGGATTATAAAAGTAATACATGCTCATTGTAAAGATTCAAACAATACAGCAATGTAGAAAGTAGAAGGTAGCAAGTCCCATCCCTGAAAGACAACCACTGTTGACGGTCTCATGTATATTTTTCCACAGATGCTCCCATTTAAACATACTATCATTTTTTTCTCTTTGAAGACATATAATTTCCTCAGAAGTTCAACATAAGTTCGACTGACCTTATCCTTCCATGACCTGGTTGGATGCCTTCCTTTATCACAATGTTAGAGTTACCTTTGAAATATATATTCCTGATCCAAATATATTCCTGATCAAAATTTGGGATTTGTTACTACTCTCTACAGAGATCAGACTTACGTGAAGGAGTGTGCCTAGAAAGTGAGGTTTGATTAAAACAGATATTTCTGGAAACTTGCAGATTGCAGACAGAAACTCGGACCCCCTATCTAAAGAAGAATGTACTGGAAAAATAATCTGAAGAGTTGACAAATTGTGTGCTAGATCAAACACATGGAATGCAATGCAATGAGATTTTCTGCACTAAAACTTATCCTAGTATGTAAAACAATGATGTGTGTATTATATAACAGTGATGTGTACATTTCTGACATCCCATACATGATATACACAGTTTGTATAAATGCATACATTTAAAAATATATATGTACAATACAGCTAACATAAAACTGTAGTATGCCTGAAGGATATTACTAGTGCCTAACATTGAGTATAAGTCGCTGCGTGTTCGCATCACCTTGGAAGTGAAGTAATTGTTAAAACTTAATCAGTGCAGCCAACATTATTTATGAATCACATCTTTGAAACTGTGCAGTAGTATATACATATATATTTTTAAATAACATTTTTCACAGTTTTCCAGAGTTACTGTTGAAACCTGTATCACCAAAAAAAAAGCAAAACAAACAAAAAAAAAAAAAGCAAGATTTTTTTAATGATGTAGACACTCTTCAGACCCAGTAATCTGTGTGTGATTTCCTGTTTGTAGATACCCAAGAGACTTTAGCAGTCACCAGCCTTAATGCATGTACAGGATATTATTGTGACTTAATTTATCTGCAGTTTTTAATCCATGTGAAATTGGAATTTATAAACTGACTTGGATTAAATATGTCTGCCTTTCTAAGGTTGCAAATGTTACATTAAATGACTTATGTTGTAAATGAGAGAAACCGAGTTGTATGTAAAAAAAAAAAAAAAAAAATGTCCACCAATTTCTGTGAATATTTTTACAAGGAAACTTCAGAATCAAAATACGTTCAAATAAGAATTCTGGTCCCTCGTTCATAATCTCTTCAGAAGCAACCTTGTTGTTTCATGAATCTTTTAAATGTAGCTTCCATGGATTTTCATTACTATAGGCCTGACATTTTTCACAGTCAAGATGGAAGCATGTTCTCCTGCATTATAACTAGTTTACAACTTGTCTTTTCCATTTCCCAGCACATATATGCACACATGCATGTGCAGAAGAACACCCCCCAGTGTCCCAGAAAATGCTGAATAGAGAGCTTGAGGAGTTCATATTGATGACTGCATTGATGCCTGTCTACCCAGTAGTCCTGGTATACTGTTTTACCTAATATTCCTTAATGACACAAGTTAACTTATATGTGCCAGGTTTTTTCAACTCAGACCAACAAGGTGGAATAATGTTTGCAATATTTGGTTGAGTAAAATAGGAGAATTTTGAACTAATGAAGACAGAAATATTAGAACAGTGGCTTGCCATTATATATCTCTCTGTGTGGGAGGGTTTTTTCTTAACCTTATTTTTACTCTTCTCCCCAAATTTTTTCAATCCATTCCTTCCCAAAGAAGCAGAAACAGCAACAAAAACAGAATGACTTTTTTACCTTACCCAGCCCCTACCCTTAGATTCAAATTGTCTTGTCTTGCAAGAGGACCCTAACTCGGGGCCACTATGGAGACCACCTCATCCCAGAAATGGCCAGGACAGGGGACTGGCTTTGCTTGCTCCAGAGACCTTGATACTCTTTTCAGAAGTGGTTTGGGCTAAGAAACACTCAACAGTCTTTCAAGAACTGTCTTTCTCTTACACAGTTTGCCTGCTATTGAAGTCTATACTAATCAGAATCATATTTTTAAGAAGTAACACATTTTCAATGAAACATGGACCAACTGGAGTCTTGAAAGACATTTTTTAATGAAAGAAAGAAAACCTAACAACATAAACTGCATTTCCAACAATTTTTCAAGCACAGTTTTCATTATTACAACTTCCTAACAAATAGCACAAGAAATGTTCAGATTTGAGATCTGTGTTCTCTTTGTCCAAACTGAATTATTCTGTATATGTCATCAGAGGGGTCAATTTGTTTGTGTGGCATGAGGGAAATTATAAAACTCTGTTCTCAAACTAATTACATCTGACCATAGTTTTGGTTTTTATTATTTAATTGGCATTCTGAGGCAGCAGGGGGTAATTTGCGGCTGGCTCCAAGGGGAGTCAGCTTCACAGCTCTTCGAGTAATGGGAATCAGGGGATTAAACCCCTATGTGTTGATTTGAAAATCCACCTCTTAACAGCCAGTTTTAA